CCCTATGCAAAGTAGAAACCAACCAAATGGGAAAAATAATTTTTTTTTTTGAAAAATAACAAAGACCATTTTTAGGATGACATAAGGAAAAGGAAAAAAAAAATGAGCATAGTATTACATGGGCGAATAGGTCATGATTGTGGACTATTACCAAGAGTTTAAACCCAAGTCCATTGGAGGGGGAATGAACCAAAAGAATACAAAGTTCAATGGTCTATACATAAATTTTAAATTTTTTTATTTCGTTTTCTAACACATTCTTCTTAATTCTCCATTCAACAAAACTGTGCTACGTACGACAATGATGAACCTTAGACAAGTTGTTCCATTAACTTCTAGCTAGTTTTTTTTCCCACGCTTTCTATTTTTTATTATTTTTTTTCTTGAAGTTCTAGTCAGTTGGAGACTGGAAAAAAGAAAACTGCTTGTCAACTATATTTGGTCTCATAGAATTGGCTTTGTGATGAAAATGCCGTAATGTATTTGGTACCGGATTTTTTTTTATTTACCGTATCGAAATTATTATAATTGGAGAATCAAAAATGTAAAAACTTTAATCAGCTGGAACTTGATCTTTAAAAATTACATTTTTTTATAATCGATTTTAACATTTTTCATCGATCATACCCTTTTAATTAGTTGTAAATTAACCCTTAAAAAGTATATATATTAACTTTTAAACGTTGTAATTTTCGATATAATATCCAATGAGAGGTAGAGTAGTTGTTTCTACAAGTCAATTTTCTAACCACCTTATCTTGTTTCTAGAGGGGGAGGGGGGCATGTGCTAGTGCTATCCATGCTAGGGTCTTTTTGCACCGTATATACGTATATTTTTAAATTTATATTTCCTTCTGCATTAAAAATTAAGTATAATTAATTACAGGGTAATTATATTGACATCTCCTCTAGATAAACATATTTTCAATGAGACCCTCTCTTTATCCGAAATATCACTGACACCTATATTTTAGGAAAATTTTCATCTACACTTTCTTTAGATAGATATATCTTTAATGAGACCCTACTATTTTTTGAATTTGTTACATATTGAAATTCAGCTAGATTAAAATTCATTGTTTATCTATTAAAATTTGAGTTGAATAAAAATTATATTTATGTACATATTAAAATTTGAGCTAATTAAAATTCAATTCGAGTCTATTAAAAATTTAATCGACTCAAATTGAATTCTAATCGGTGAATTGTAATCAATTCGAATTAAAATTTAATCGGTGCTAACACCACAGGTTGAGCTCTAATTGACTTGAATTTTAGTACATAAAAAAATAAAATTTAATCAGCTCGAATCGAATTTTAATCGACTCAAATTTTAATATGTGGAAAAATAAATTTTAATCGACTCAAATTTTAATATGTAAAAAAATAAATTTTAATTTACTCAAATTTTATGTAGAAAGATTATTTTGGGTTTATGTAGGGACAATTTCAATATTTTAGATGATTTTTTTTTCTCTTAGAAATGGTGGTTTAATGATAGAAATGTCAGCGATGTTTTGTTTGAATAATGGAAGAGTTCTAATTGAAAATATATCTATTTAGGGAGGTGTGAATGATAATTATCCTTGACTATATAATAGACTATAGAAACGTATTGAAAAATGTGGCATGAAAACCCTAAAAAATCTCACCATACAGAACCCACATTTGCATTGTAGTGATCGATTCTCTATGAGGAACAGTTCATACGAAGCTAGGCTTCATTCAACTCATGAATAATATCTTACAACGTCTCAGTTCTAACGTTAAGATCTTGTCCGCTTTGCCTAACATTTCAACCTAAACCAGAATGAGTTATTCTAATCTCCAAAGACATTAATATCATTATTTATTTGTTTTTGTCGGGACTGGATGTTACAGATGGTCGTCAGTTTGGTACATAAATAACTCAGCTGGCTATGGCAATAAATCTAATGACCAATTCGTACGTACCAGCTTCTACGGATTGTGCTGTTTGTGTTAAATATTCCCTTCTCTCTTTAGGTTTATAATTACTCTATCAGGTAATATAAGACTTATGTCGACCATTCAATCGGATATGTGGACGGCATTGTTCATATATTGCATCGTTTGAAGTCGAAGGCAAAAAGCAAGTAAACTGTAATGTTATCTACTGATTATAGTAATTAGGAAGGTGAATGGGACGGCCAACCTTTGTTATAATCTGGAACATGAGTCGTATTTATAAAAAGTTCTATTCTATCAAAGTATTTCCAACCACAAAAAACTAGTTTAGTTACCCAAAAAATAATATTCTCTATTTTAACTGTTCAATTTTTTAATATACACTCTAATAGATGTTAACTATTTTTATATATTATTTTTCATTTTGTGTACCTTTTTTTTGACTGTTGGAGGGAGGGAGGGAGAGAGAGAGAGAGAAGAATAAAGGTAAAGATAGAGTGAACAAGACAGATGGGAACAGACCTCCTCTAAAGAGATATTTTCAATTCTCTTATTCACGAATCATATTTAAGCTAGAGAAGTTGTCCAATTTGCTAGAGATCAGGTGTGTGAAGAGATTATTTTGGAAGACAATTCGACAAATGTGATGAAACTCATAACTGGCATTGATGTGGATTTTGATCATTTGGGTACTGTCTTGGTAGATATTAAGAACATATTGCGTAGTTTTTGTTATGTTCATGTGTCTACCGTTAGATGGTCGGGTAATAAGGTAGCTCATTTGTTAGCAAGAAATGTAATGTCTATTGGTTATTGTGATGTATGGCAAGAAGAGGAAAAAATATCCATTACAATGGTGATACCACGTGACAATATTGTTGTGGTATCACCAACCTATAATATCAAAATAAATAAACAAATGAGTCCCACTAAAATTAATAATCAACCCTCCGCGTAAAGAAATAACTACCCAAGTTGGGTTAATTAATTAGTTGAATTTCTAATATTTCTCAAAAAAAAAAAAAATTATCCTTATGCACTCTCCCTGTACAAATGGATCACTCGTTCATTTAACAATAGACGATCTGTCAAAAAAATAAAAAAGGAGAAAAAACATTAAACTATAAACTTATACTTCAAAATTTGCGTCCAACAAAGTGTATGTGATAGAAAAAATTAGCATTCACCAGCCAATTTCATCATTCTTTTTCATATGGTTGTTGTTCACTGACAAAGATGGTTTGTGGGTCAAGTGGATTCATTCTTATTATCTCAAAGGCAAAAGTCTTTGGGGTCAGGACTCCACAATGTTGCTCATGGAACTGACTTAATTTGTTGAAGCTAAGAACAATTTGTAGAACCCAAATTCTTCACAGCATTGGAGATGGACAAAACACTAGCCTCAGGCACGATAACTGGCATCCTCAGGGTCCCCTTCTGTTGAAATGGAATAGTAATATTATTCAGGATTAAGATCTTCCAAGGGATGCAAAGGTTAGCAGCATTGTAAGGAATAAGAAATAATCTATGGCATTGGCTTCACACAGGAACCTTTGAGCTTCGGGAAATTAAACAAACCATGCCCTCCTACCAACCATGTCAACAAAGATGGGATGTTGTTAAATGGATTCCTGCCCCAAATGGCACTTTCTCCTCAATCTCTGCCTGGAATCAAGTGAGAGTTCATTCTCCTAAAGAGCCTTGGGTTCATTTGGTGTGGTATAGTCATGCTATTCCTAGGATGAGTTTTATTCTTTGGCTAGCCATTAGAACAAGGCTTGGCACAAAGGATAGAACTCAAGTTTATACAAACAATATGGGGATGGAATGTGTTCTATGTAGACAAGCTGATGAGACCCATTCTCATTTATTTTTTGAATGTCATTACTCAAGGAGCATATGGAGAAATTTGCTTCAGCTCATTGGTGAGCAGGGACAACTTAACTCTTGGCAGCATCTGGTAAGTCATGCGATCCAAATTTGGAAGGGCAAATCCATGGTGAGTGTGTTGAGAAGACTTTGTTTGGCAGTGAGTGTGTATTTTATATGGAGGGAACGAAATAACAGAATCCATCAAAACCAAGTGAGAGACTACAAGTCCTGTTAAACCTCATTGTGCAGACAGTTAGTGACAGAATGTCTTCGGCCAAGTTCAATTCCTCTCAATTGAACATGCGGTTATTTCATATATGGCAGCTTCCTAGTTCCTGCATAAGGGTCTAAGTTCTCTGATGTTCCTTCTGATCCTTTCATCACCCATGTGGAATGCAAATGGCTTTGTTGGGAATCCTTTGTTGGGTGTGCTATCCTTTCATTCTCACTTTTGTACGATTTTTTCTGGCTTAATTGCTCGTTGGGGCTGTCTGCTTGATGCCTATTGTTGCTGGTGCTGATTTTATTGGTGTGTTGGGCTGATTTTGCTGGTGCTGATTTTATTTGTGTGTTGGCTTGCTATGCTGTGTTGAGTTGGCGCTAAATTTACTACTGCAAATGGCTGGATTGGTCTGCTACCATGCATTTCAATGGGAGTTTCTCTTGCTCAGGGCATCTGCTATCTTGTTGGATGAATTGAGATCATGCTTTGTTTTTGTTTACCATTGTACTCTTGTCAACAATTCTGGGGGAGATACCCTTACTTAGGGCAGCTCTTTCAGAATTGTATTTTTAAGTATTGACTTTTTAGATTTGATGTTTGTTTTTGAGTCCTATGTGACTTTATTGTATATTTTGGAAGTGATTATCCTTGGTATTTATGTTTTATTTATTATATTTTACCTTTCGAAAAAAAAAAAGTTGGGCTAGAAAAAGCGATGTGTATATAAAAATAAATAAATAAATATTTATTGAATTGCTCATTTCGAACTTCCTTGAATAATTCCTGTGACAGTAATATTATTTTTCGCTTGACTTGGGGAGTTGTTATGGCAATAAAAATACTGATCATATATCTCTCTCTCTCATGCTTGACTTCGTCATTCAGCCTCCACTATACATCTCTCTTACGCGTCTATAAGTCAAAAGTCATCATTCATTTCCCCTTCCTTCCTTCCTTCCTTCACCTTGCCTAAAACTTCTATATATATATAATCCAACCATTTAAACCACGTCTCCATATACTTCTCTCTCTCTCTTCTCTCTCTCTAACTATTCATTTATTGTTAAGCTTCAAACATTGTCCAAGATTTCTGGGTGAATAAAATATTTGATACAAATCTTCAAGTTTCATTCCTCTAATTTGTTCTTTGGAAAGTCACAAGAAAATTTTTCCGGCAAATTTTTGGGAGTTTATTTTTTTTTAAGACAACGAAGAGAGAAATATGGCCGGAGGAGGTGGTGGAGGAAGAAATTTGGAGCAAACGCCGACATGGGCAGTTGCCGTGGTTTGCTTTGTCTTGGTTTCAATATCAATTGTCATCGAGCATATCATTCATCTGATTGGACAGGTATGCACTATTTCAACAAAATATCTTAAACAGTTGGTCATGAGTTTGATTTGAGAATTGTGTCACGGAACTCTTTTTCTTTACACAGAATAAGATCGTGTGCTTCTAATTCTCTCAAAATTTTATATCGACGGGAATCTATTACAATATGCTACCCATTTTGTGTCTAATATAGTGCATTATTTAGCCTTTCAGATGGTTTTATACTTGTTCATGAATTTAGAGTCTAAGCTAAATTGCTGCACTTTTTTACAGTGGTTGAAGAAGAAACACAAAAGAGCTCTATATGAAGCACTGGAAAAGATCAAATCAGGTACACCCATCATCATCATCATATCTCTCTCTCTCTCTCTCTCTCTCTCTCTCTCTCTCTTAATAATGGAGTCTTCTTGTTACCTTTTGATTGGTGGGTGCAGAGCTTATGCTGTTGGGGTTTATATCCTTGCTCTTAACAGTAGGACAAAGTCCAATTTCGAATATATGTATATCAGAAAAAATTGGAGCTACATGGCATCCGTGCAAAAAGAAGCAAGAGGATAAATTGAACACTAAAGATGACAGCCAAGATGGAGAAGACAATCGCCGGAAACTTCTCATGATAACCAACTCCGGTGAAGGTCTCCGACGCTTTTTGGCTGGCGGGGGAGGGGAAACTGACAAATGCGCAGTCAAGGCATGACTATTTCTGTTTTTTATGTTTTTTTTTCTCAATATTGTTTGAATAAGGACTTAGTCATTGTCATCGCATACGTCCATTCTTAGGAAATGTAGAGAACCAATAACCTGTGCATGTTTGTGCGATAACACCAAGGTTCTAAATGAATAGAGTGTAGTTTAACATAGAAACAAAATATGATGTCTTATCTTTGAATATTATTGCTATACCAAAAAATTTTCTGCTTGATAGGCATGTTAGTTTTTATGTTTGAATCTTATTGTTATCATGATTATTAAAAATTTTATTTAACAGACCCAAAATTTAATTTGCACGTGAGGGACGTGTTTGAGTATACATACTTAAATTACATCTATCTAACATCTTAATCTTTTAGAACAAAGGTTGTTCAATGCTAGGTATAGACTTATACATCCGAGTTCGAGTTTTATGACAGCATTAAAATTGGGTTTAAACTCTTGTGTACCATGTGTGTGTGATTGTATGCAACTGAATATTTCATGACAATCATCTGTCACAGACAAACCTAGAAGAACCATCTGACAAAACCTAGCTTGTCTTCATTGTTTTTATGCATGAAAATATAAATGGCTAGAATGAGGAACACATTGAAGTAATTATTCTTGTATAAATTTGTGCAGGGTAAAGTGCCATTTGTGTCTTCCACTGGTATTAATCAGTTACATATCTTCATCTTCGTGTTGGCTGTTTTTCACGTCCTCTACTGTATCCTCACCATGGCTTTGGGGACAGCCAAGGTAATATATCAGTCACCTCATTTTTTCCCTTTTATTTTAAAAATCGAAGAAATCATACATTCACCTCTTTTTTCTTTTAATTTCAAAAATTGAAAAAAATCATATTTTTTTTCTTTGTGAATCAAGGTTTTATTCACATTGAAATTAGATATACACACACACTCTCTCTCCCTCTATCTCTCCCTCACACACACACATTTTCACAGTCATGTGTTTCAACTTTTTTGTGTTTCCAGATGAGTAGTTGGAAGAGATGGGAAAAGGAAACAAGAACAGCCGAGTACCAGTTCTCACACGGTTAGTCTCTCTCTCTCTCTACACACACACACACACATGTATATGCACATACACATACTAATAGATAGATACACATAGGCACACACACACACATTGTCATAAGTTTACATTACCTGCATGCATGCCCAAAAATTATATTCTCTAAGACCAAATGGTGACGGAGTGGGTGGTTCATGTGAAGCAGATCCAGAAAGGTTCAGGTTTGCAAGGGAAACATCATTTGGAAGAAGGCACTTGAGCTTCTGGAGCAAAACACCTGTGCTTATATGGATTGTAAGTCGTTAACCTTTATCTCCTTCGAGGAATTTCGTTTGCATATATACAGTATTTCTGCAAATCATCCATTGTTGTGGTCCAACATTTTTATTAAATGCATCATAAAACTACAAATTCAGGATTAATATCCCCTAATCTCTCTAACTGGCCTTCGAGGAATTTCGTTTGCATATATACAGTATTTCTGCAAATCATCCACTGTTGTGGTCCAACATTTTTATTAAATGCATCATAAAACTACAAATTCAGGATTAATATCCCCTAATCTCTCTAACTGATCCAACTGTTGTGGTCCAACATTTTTATTAAATGCATCATAAAACTACAAATTCAGGATTAATATCCCCTAATCTCTCTAACTGGTCCAACTGTTGTGGTCCAACATTTTTATTAAATGCATCATAAAACTACAAATTCAGGATTAATATCCCCTAATCTCTCTAACTGGTCCAACTCTCATAATTTAAGTTTGCAAAATTATGTCGTTATCGCATTACTACTATAATTCTCATAGTAGGGGCACCGAAATTAATGATTTTCATATATAGCACCGTGATCTTCAAAGAAGTTTGAAACGACATCTGGGTTTTGGTTAAGTTGGCATTGTCTTCATCATGCATGAGTGGACCATCATCATTAGGACGTATCACTATCTCAAAATTAATGACAAGGGTCGACTAAAGACAACTAGCTGCTTTATTAATGAAATGATGCCCACTTTTCTAGACCTGTTCCCACTCTCTCTCTCTCTCTCTCTATATATATATATATATATATATACATACATATATATATATGTATGTATGTATATGTCTTCAAAATGATAAAAATTAGTGTTTTTTTCCACCACAAGCATATCCCAATTTTGTTGATGTTCAAATTATAGAGCTTCTAATTTGAAGATGAGCCGGTGTTCATTTAAATTAATCGTTGATGATAAATTATTTCTCTATCAGAAATTATAATATTAAACGAAAAGCATCTATTAATTACAAATAAAACACAAGGGAGGTGCCTATGCTTCGCTCTAAACTAAGTGTATCATAACATATATTACATTAACAATAATGTTACACTGATCAAATTTTAAAATTAAATTTGGTGCTCAAATGACATGACAACATATTATTTAAAGTTTTTATTGAGACTCAAATAACATGACATCAAATAAAAAAACCCAAATACCTAAGGGACCTGATTAGGACTACTGGTACCGTGACCTTGACTTTGGATACAAAATACTATGTGATTATAGAAATTTCATCTTCTAGATATTCTTTTATCTTCAACTACCTTTTATTTATTTATTTTTTTATTTTTTGAGTATATCACACGAGACTATTTCGATCTAATTTAAAAATTTTATTGAGGACCTAATTCATTATTATAGTGTTGGATGAAATATCGGGACTTACAACTTATTTAATGAATGCAATGAAATAAACGTTGATATCAAATTCTCAAATTAAATTTAATTATTGCCACCTACAAAATTTGAAATAGGAGATAACGGTCTTGGCCTGCCAATTAGATGGTCCAAAGATCCAATTGAAATTTCTCTATTCATATTAGTTTTGACTTTCTCAACAAACAACTTAATTGACTTTACACCTAACAATGACGACTTTGTCCTTCAGAATAACTCAAATTATTTGGTGTCCATTATCCCTACTATATATATTATTACTAGGGTGTTCTCGTGTAAAACACATATTTTTATTTAATATATATGTTGAATTACTGTAGTTAAAAAATTAAAATGTAAATCAAAAAATATATGGGTTGAGTTCCTCTAGTTATAATTTAAATCATAATATAAGTTATCGGATCAAATGATCTGAACCATTTTTGTATTTTATATAAGCTAGACTATGTATAATATTATATAGATTTTTTGTGTGTATATATATATATATATATATATATATATATCATGATGTGGAAATAAACTTTGTCTTATTGATATGTAGTAGTGGGAATATATATTTGGTTCATAATTTTAACTTTTAAGTGTTTCTTGCTTTGATTTCAGGTTTGTTTCTTCAGACAATTTGTGAGATCCGTCCCAAAGGTTGATTACTTGACATTGCGACATGGTTTTATCATGGTAAATACTTAATTTTTTTTTTCCTTTCTTTCACTTCTTGGAATAAACAACAGATGATTCACTTTTTTTAAGTAATGAAGAAGAAGACCGAAACATGTCACGAAAAGACTCTACTGACATAAAAATGTCATTAAAAGAACGTAGATAACATAGGATGGACAATTAATCAAATCTAATATAAATTGTAAATGAACGATAGTTGAAATCCGCGGCTCTTCTAGGGTTCCCTCATCGGGGAACATAAATAAATGAATTGCATACTTAAATTCAAGCAAATCTGAATCCTTGGATAGTATGTCCAGTATGCTAATCCACAATCCAGATCGAATCATACAAGGACGGTAGTTGAACTCAGCGGCTCTCCTAGAGTTCTCTCATCTGCGATCTTTTTCTCTCTAACCATTTCATTATTAATTTCAGGCACATTTGGCACCTCAGACCCACTCAAAATTTGACTTCCAAAAGTATATCAATAGATCACTGGAGGAGGATTTCAAGGTGGTCGTGGGAATCAGGTTAGTTAATTAGTGCTTCAATTCATTTTTTTTTCCTTTTCTTTCTCTGATCAAACCCTAAATTTTATATATTCTTTTCTTTTTATAATGCCATTTTAATTAAACTAACTACCATTTTTTTTTTAATTTTTTATCAGTCCACCTATCTGGTTCTTCGCGGTTATATTCTTACTCTTCAACACACATGGTGAGTGGATTGAATCTTGCAATGTATATTGACAGTGTATTCATATGGTGTTTCCTTTATCCTATTGAACACCAATAATATATACTATATGTGTGTGTGTGTGTGTGTATTGAAATACAAAAATGCACTTAATTTTTGTCAAAAATTATTTAATGTATGATATGTATGTGTCTTGTGAGATTTCTTTGACTAAAGTGTTCTAATGTACATGTGGGCAGGTTGGTATTCCTATCTATGGCTACCATTTATCCCATTGATTGTAAGTAGTTTCTGCGTATATACACACATCTTTGTCGATTTAATATATATATTTATATAATGTTTGACTTCGTCGTGGATCCCAAGTGGCAAATCTAACGGTTGTTGTTGAATGTGCAGATCATCCTGTTGGTAGGGACCAAGTTACAGGTGATCATAACCAAGATGGGGCTAAGAATTCAGGACAGAGCTGAAGTGGTAAAGGGTGTACCAGTTGTTCAGCCTGGTGATGACCTCTTCTGGTTTAACCGTCCACGCCTCATTCTCTATCTCATAAACTTTGTCCTCTTTCAGGTACCCTTTTCTTATCAAAAATGCCACTGATACGTATTCTCGGGACGTACTTCGAGACTTGATACATTATAATTATTGGAGTAATAGTGCAATTCAATCTATATATTTTACAACTCACTGTTACTCTAATAATTATAATTATTAAATCACTAAATTATATTTGAATAACATTATTCTTTTTTTATGTGTCGAGATCTCTCCATTAGATTTCATCAACCACCATGATTTTCACCTACTGTACTTAGACTCATCTGTTTGATTTTTTTCATGGCCATCCAACGCAGAATGCCTTCCAGCTCGCCTTCTTTGTATGGACTTGGGTAAGCTACCATATAAACTTATATATATATATATATATAAGTATATAAAGAGAGAGAGAGAGAGAGATTGTTGATGTGTTATTAACTTCTTTCCATTTTTGTGCAGTATGAATTCGGTTTCAGGTCTTGTTTCCACGAGCACTTGGAAGATATCATCATCAGAATCTCAATGGGGTCAGTTTCATATCATTCATTACATTTTGATTGTTTCCCATTCAATCAATGTGAAGGTCACTAACAAATTTCAATGGTGGTCTGTTTGATCAGGGTTCTCATTCAGATTCTGTGCAGCTATGTCACTCTCCCTCTTTATGCCCTTGTTACGCAGGTATGAACTTACATATGTATAGCTCACTATTTCATAAAAAACAGTTTAATAGAAGGGCTAAACATTAATTGTTAAAATTCTATGTATGATGTGATCAGATGGGTTCAACAATGAAACCAACCATATTCAATGAAAGAGTAGCCACAGCACTGAGGAACTGGCACCACACAGCAAAGAAGCACATCAAAAAAAACAAGCATTCCGGCCTTGCTACCCCAATGTCAAGCAGGCCTGCAACACCATCCCATGGCTTGTCCCCGCTTCACCTGCTCCGCCACTACAAGAGCGACGTGGACAGTTTTCACACCTCTCCAAGAAGATCGAATTATGATTTTGAGCATTGGGATGCGGAAGGGTCACCGTCGCCTACACACCTCCAGCAGGGCGGCGATGGATCCTCCTCCCACCACCCCTACTACCAGGGTAATAGCTCCTTGTCCCACCACCACCACCACCAAATTGAACTTGGTAATGTAGAACATGAGAGAGATGAGGCCCAGGAGCCAAGCTCGGCCCAACTGGCTCCGCTTCCCGAAAGAAATCGAGAGCAGCACGAGATCAAAATCAGAGGACCAAATGACTTTTCATTTGCTAAAAGAGAAACAACACATAATTAAGCAAAGGACCATGTTGGCCTACCGACGATGAACACAAGTACATTATGAGGATAGTTACACCAGATTTGGCAATGGAATCCAGGGTTTTGGCTGCAGCTTGTTAAAATACAGATCGTGATCACTTTTCCTTTGGAAAAATTGGTTGCCGACACTCGCCGACCTCGTGGTGGCGGTAGCCTCAGTGCACTAAACCGCCTCTTTTTTTTTTCTCTCATAGATAACTTTTTTCTATTGTTTTACTGCATGGACTTGGTACAAAAGCATTATAAATTTCTGTAAATTAAGAGCCAGCTGCAATCACTGCAACTTGTACTTTGTACATGATTGTGATGCTGGAATTGAAAGTTTGATTCTTTTCTTTTTTGGGCTCAAGAAAGTTTGATTTGTTTCCTCGTCAACATTGGTGAAGAACATGAAATGTGTTTCATTAACCAAAAAAACATATTAAAGGATGATCAACCCAGCAATGATAAGTGTAAGGGATTAAATCCGCACCGGGATATTCTTCCCCCATCGAAGGATTTTGGCTTACCTGCGCGCATTCGGCAGTAGCCTTTAACCTTTTTTCGCCAGCTGGGAGTGCGTTTGTCCCACATCAGAAGAGAGTCGTCTCCTGCCCTGTCATATAAGTCTTACCTTCATACGGAGGAAAGCCGAACTGATCAAAGGGTTCGGCAAATAAAGAAAGAGTTCGGCCCTCTTTATTACCGAGCTCGTGAACCTGGTAGCTAAGCAGGGGAAGTGCTCGGCTTATGCCAAGCCATGTTCTCTAGTGTGTTCGGGAAAATAGTTGATAAGATCGGTTTGTGCCAAACCAAGACTCTAAACCGTTCGGCACATAGCAAATGTGCTTGGCACTCAATATGTTCGAGTTGTTCAAAACGACGGATGGAAAGTTAAATATTCGCCTAAAATCTAGACAATCAGATAAACAAGATCAACAAGATTGAAGATATCAAGAGAAATTGTTTGAGAAGTATCAGTTACTTCCCAAAATCAATTACTGAATTAAAGGAAGGTGTGCCACCTTAAATCTAAAATCGTGGAAACTCTAAGGGGATAATGACATATAAACAACGGAAGAGGCCAAGGTGAAAGGGACACATAATTCTCCTTATCCTGGTGCAATTTTCTCTGTTCCATTACGGACTTAAGTATCAGAGTGTCTTCGATCGAAGTACTTCGATCTTGGGTAATTTGTTCGTTTTGCAGGAAAGAGATTTGGAGATTGTTCAGTATTCTTTCCCAAAAATCACATCGCAAATTCACCATTAGAGTTATCTCCGATTTTTTGCCTCTACAATAAGGATAATATCTAGTAGTTTCTGTCGGTATAGATTAGCTAAAATAATGTATAGATTAGCTTGAATAATGCCAAGATATGTCATTGGCTTTGATTGTTAAAAGTATCAAAAATGTCAGAACATGAGCGGTGGACTAAGTTAAGAAAGACAAATTCGTTTTTTTTTTTTCAAATCTTATTTTTCCGCCACCCTCACCTTAGGGAGATGATAAGATAACCTATCTACAATGATAAGGATAACATTTAGTAGTTTCTGGTAGTATAGATTAGCTTGAATAATGCCGAGATATGACACTGGCTTTGATTGTTAAAAGTACTATAAATATCAGAGCATGAACAGTGGAGTAAGTTAAGAAAGACAAATTTTGGCTATTGTTCAAAAGATACCAATCATAGACAATTTTAACAGTTTTTTAGAAAGAATAATTGTCGCAACATTTTGTTTGAGTAAATAAGCACATGCCCTCCCTTCATACCCAACCTCTAAGTCAAACTTCTAACTTTGCGTAGAGGTCATCTATTTTTGTGTGTGTGTGTGCGTGTGAGAGAGAGAGAGAGATGTTTGGGTCCCATTCCTCCGATGGATCCTTCCAACCTCAAGTGGAATAGATATCCAGCCAACCATTAATTCTGTCATTGACATTCAACTTCGTGAAAGTTTCAATTGTAAAGTCTTTCATACGGTGGACAACTGGTACCCTTGGAACCATCTACCCACCTACTTGGCTCATACGATGTCCATTTGTCTTCCGATATTGACCTTTCAAGTATAACGTGACGATTATGACATGAATGTTTGGTATATGCATTTGAAGGGAACTCGGGAGTCTTGTCCGGACATCGTTTTAGACTTCGACTTTTTCCAATTCTTTGGACTTTGGAAATTGTTAGTTATATTAATATGAGTCATGTTACAAAAATCAAATAAAACTCTAAATGTTACTGTACATCTTAAATACATATCATTTTTTAAATGAATGAATCTCATCAATTTTTTTAGTGAAACTCACTCATCTCACACTTATACAAGAGATAATATGTATTTGAATTTTAACTTTTAAATTTTATTTGAATTATGTAACATTTTTTTATTAATATATGAGTTGGTACTTGTGGCTTAGGATTTCTTTAATCACGAAACGATTACGATTTTTACTTTGTATAAAAAATTTAGAACTAATTATATTTAGATTCCTTGAGATTTATCAATTAATCACTTAGGTCTCTTGACATTTAAAATATTACATACACACCCCTGAAGTTTGTACGCATGTGTACTTAGACCTTTGTTGTCAATGTTCGCTAATATATTCTTTAATTCATTACACTCGAATCCCCTAAAATTTGTAGGTGTGTAATATTTAAATCTCTCAAGTTTAAAATATTATATTTATACCAAAAATACTTTAATGTTCCGTTTGGTAGGAATGTTGGAAAGTAAGAGAGATGAAAAGTAAGAGGGATACACATTCTATCTTCAAAGGAAAGAAAGTAAGAATAATACATTTTTCTTTTTTTGTGTTTGGTAGGATAGATGGAAAATAAAAATAATTTTTTTTTGGGGCTTGGTAAGATGGAAATTTTTTTATTTTTATTTTTTACTTTTAAAATTTAAAATTTTTATTTTTTAAAAAAAAGTAGAAATAAATTTTTTTATCATTGTATTTATATATGAAATTAATGTATACATAATATATGTATATTTCAGATGATATATGGACAAATAATATACATTTTAATACAACTAATTAATTTTTATCCATTTTTCTTCCAATTTTAGAGAAATTGATTTTAGTGAATTAGAAAAAAAATTTATTTATCCACTTTTCTATCTTTCTTATTTTCTTTCCTTACCAAACATAATGTTTGATTTATCCCTCAAATTTTTAATCCTTCCATTTTTTCATCGTACCAAATAAAGCATAATCAAAGATAGAATATCAAGTATTTTAAATTTTACAATAAAAATTCATGCTCTATTATGATATTTATTAAAATAAAATCAAAAATAAAAATCTAATTTTTTGTTAAAAAACCATAATTATTGAAATAAAACTAAAAATAAACAAATTACAACATCTTTTAGATTTAATTAGAGTAATTTGGTAATTTAATTTCATTGTTTAAATGACCAAATTAAATTCCAATAAATAGTATAATTTTATACTAATTATATTTTTTAAGAAAAAATATTTTTAATTTTATTTCAATAAATGTCAAAATAGAATATGAATTTTGGTTGTTAAATTTAAAATATTTGATATTTTATCTTTGATTGAAATATTTTATATGTAAGTATAACATTTTTAAACTTGAGGAGTCTGATTATTAAATTTCAGAGAGTCGATGTAATTTATTAACAGATATACTAATGGACATCGACAGCAGGGGTATAAATGTTTCACACGTACAAACCTTAAGGGGTGTGTATGTAATATTTCAAATATTAGAGGATCTGAGTGATTAAATAACAAATTTCAGGGGTTAGGTGTAATCCTCCCAAAAAATTATAATTGGTTTGTTTGGAGTTGGTTGAAATATGTTGATTTTATAAATTTTGGAGTAAAATAAGTAAGGTCCATTTGGACCTTGCCTTCTAGACTAGCCTATGCAAGCAGTTTTTAGACCCAAAAAAATTTATTTAAGTTGATTCAAAAAACTATTTTTATGGGTTTTTCATCTAACTTTTTAGAGTTTTGTTGAAGGTCCTACATAAATTTTTATTTTATTATATTCACAAAATATTATTAGCGACATAAAAAATTTTGAAATTCATATTTTGGGTATTATAATGAATAATTTATACATACATAAAATTATTTTTTAATTTTGACACAAAAAGCCAAAAAATTTAGAAAATCATTGTAAATGGACTTTTTCAATTTTTTACAAAATACTCTTAACAGTTTTAGGAAACTTTTTTAACTCTAATTTTTTAGCAAAACTTTTTAAACGGTAATATTTCAAGATCAAGTTATATTTTTTTAAAGCTCTAAGTTATAATTCAAAAAGTTATAATGGATCATAAAATATTATAATTAATTACACTAAATACATCTTTTAAATGTCAAATTATACTCTATAAATGAAAAGTTACAAACTACTCACGATAAATATCCTGATCAATTATGAACAATTATAATTTGTCTTTCCTAAGATGTACAATATCAATAAATATATTAGTACTGGAGCAATTTCCGTCAAACTAAATAATATAAATGTATTTAATATGACAAGATACACATGAATAATTTTATGGGGGTAAAAGCAATGGATTTGTGGAGTAGACTACGGTACATTTAAGGAAATTTTTGATACCATACCGAAATATTTAAATTTTATGGAAATAATTACAACTTCAATATTAAGTTTACTAAATTTATGAGATTATTTACAATTTCAATAGGTTACCTGTTAGATACCGATTGATAGACAAGACAAGACATTAAAATGACATATTAGATACTACATCATGATTATTAGTAATTTTGTTACCATAATGAAGAAAATATTTATAACTTCAGTGATATATTTATCGAGTTTGTGAGAATATTTACAATTTCAATGATATATTTACCAAATTTATGATAATATTTACAACCTCAATGGTATGTTTACTAAATTTATGGGATTATTTACAACTTCAATGGATTCTTTACGAAATTTATGGAAATATTTACAATTTCAACGAATTGTTTACCACATTACTTGAGATAGTTGTGAATGAAAAGGGATACTCAAATTAAGAGTAGAACCCCGTATATATATCCAAAAATAATACAGAGTGACTTAAACATCCTTGTAGTTTAGGCAAAATATAAAAATCATAGTAAGGGTAAAAAAGGAAAAAGAAACCCTAATAAACCTAGACTATCTATACTCCAACACTCCCCCTCAAGCTAGGCGCAAAAATGTCAACTAAGTCAAGCTTGACAACGGAGTCCCGAAGAATAGACAGAGAGACAGGTTTGGTAAAAACATCTGCAACTTGATCACTGGTCCCCACAAACGATGGAGTAACAAGACCACTGCTGACCTTCTCCCGAAGAAAGT